CATCAGCTCTTTTAAGGAACTGACATGACTTCCTGGATGACGCAGTGTTCTAGCTACAAATTGGGGAGTAGTAAACAGATCAAAAGGAAACTCTGATCTACTTTAGCCAAAGAGAAAATTTTAGCTACTCATCATCTCGTCTTTCTTTTTGACGCTTGAATGTGATTCTGATGAGCATCTTCTTGGAAACTATCAAATTATTTAAATGAGCGTGAATTCTTTTTCCAGATAAAAGCATTCAAGTAAGCACCTGAAAAGGAAGGTTTTCAGGGTTCCTGCTTTGACGGACAGCATTCAGGCTTTTCAAAATAGAAGTTTTAAGTGTTTCAGTTGAGGAGCTGATTTGCTGCAACTCAATAGTGGAAGGAAACAAAGGCAGGTATACTTTCATCCTGGCAGGGAGGAGGAAAAGAATCACTGGAACAGGAAACAAACTTTCAGAAGATCTCTTTAGAAGCAGAAGACCTCCTTATGACACCTGGAAGTAGGGAATATCGGTCATGTCTTAGTACTAGCAGATTGGCTTCCATCATTATTTGTGGTCTCATTGTTCCAAGAAATAAGTTAAAAGAGGGTGGGGGGGAAGAAAGACAAAGACAAGTGGGGGTGGCTTCACCATTTGCATCTAACCATGGTACAAACATGTCTCTGGTGACAATTTCTTTTCTGCCATGTCTGGATGATTTTGCCTTTATGGTATTAATGTCATCCCTCTTAAGCCAAAAGCATTCCACAGTAGCCACAAGGTCTAAAAAATTAGTAACACTTCATCACCTGTTACTATTGGAGGTGACCAATAATTAAGTGACCAAGTAATGGGAAAATTTAAGCAACGCTTATTGGCTCTTTTAGGCTGATGCAGGCATATTCCACCTCTCTAGTTTCTGGTTGGATTCATCTGCCATTATTCTTCTGTTGTCTCCCTAAACAGCTGGAGACAGTAGCACTATGCCAGTTGTCTATCAGGAGTACACAACAGAACTTGACGGCTCAAACAGCAGTACCAAGTGTTTTAATACTATGTTGCCTAGTTTAGTGCAAGGATGAAATACCAGAACAATGAAACAACAGGACCAAATCCCCTTCTACCACCCATTTCCTCCTGAACAAAACCTGGAGGTATCTGGAGTATGATTCAAGAGACCAAAGAAGCCTTAAAAATAATAAAATTAGGAAAGCGACAGGCCCAGATGGGCTGATGGCTCAATATTACAAAATATTAGAGGACAGATTGGTGGAAAGATGATGAATGATGATGAATGAAATTCAAACAACATAAACAAGACATGGGAAGAAGCATATATAACCTTAACACACAAAGAAGAGAATGACCCAAATAAAGTTCAGTCATGCAGACCAATTTCTCTACTGAATGTTGATTACAAGATATTTACTACTATATTGACTGAATTTGTAAGGAAGTGCATCCCCAAATTGACCTACACAGATCAGTCAGGCTATATTTCAAAGAAGTTGATAGATAATAGATTTATCATAAATGCACCAGAATATATCAACACTAAGAAAAAGAAGGCAGCAGAAATATTTTTGGATGCAAAAAAAGCTTTTGACAACTTGGAATGGTTATTTTTTTTGAGAGGTTCTAAATAAAAATAATCCCGGAGGAGAATTTAAAACCTGGATAGAGAGTTATATCAACAGTAAACAGCAAATATTATAGCGAATGGAACACTCTCTGCAAATTTTTCAATATGTAAAGGTACAAAGTAAGGGTGTCTGTCGACTTTCTCCTTTACTAGTTGTAATTGCTTTGGAACTCCTAGTAAACAAGATCTGAAAAGATAAATAACCAGGATTAAAATTCAAGGAGAAGAATGTAAGATGAAGTGCCATGCAGATGATATAGTCAGTGAACTATAGCTTGGTGAGGGTTATCTTATATGACTGTATCCAAGGAAAGATGCAAAGTGAGAAAGAACAGTTTCTGGTTGGGATCTACCTCAAAAGGAAGAAAACTTTCTATTTGATTTTGGCCAACTGTGTTCAGAAGAGGTACTCTGGTCTGTTAAAAAGATTGAGGGCAATGCAGTTTGCCCACCCTACTCATTTCTACAGCAGAAGATATCTAGTATTTAGTATTTTCAGGTACTATAAAAATTCTTGGGTTTATACAGGGGAGAAATTAATTGTTTGGGGTTTTTTAAAAACAAAAATTATCCCACCTTTATTACTTTTTCTTAATAAATAACTCAAGGCAGAGAAAATACCTAATCCTCCTTCCTCTTCCTATTTCCCTACAACAACAACCCTGTGAGGTGAGTTGGGCTGAGACAGAGGGACTAGCCCAAAGTCACCCAGCCAGCTTTCACACCTTAGGTGGGACTAGAGCTCACAGTCTCCTGCTTTCTAGCCTGGTGCCTTCACCACTAGACCAAACTGGCTCTCCGTTTTATTATTATTAATTCCTTTCATTTTTCAAAACTTTTTTTAAATAACACGACTTCCAATATTGTTAAGTTGTTCTCTGATTAGTTCAGCATGCTCATCAGTGTCAAAGAACAGAAGGAAAAATAAGGCTTTACGGAAAAGATATCAAATGCCAGTGGGAGTTTCAACATGTAGGACAGAAGCAATTTTGAAGTGGAACCACTTAGAACAGTGTTTCTCAATCGTGGCTGCTTTCAGATGTGTGGACTTCAACTCCCAG